CCCCCCGCCAATACACACAAATTCATGGATCCAAAAGTAACGTTCATGTCAGAGACGAACGAGGGGCCATTAGGAGGATTTTTGTTTGAAAAAGGAATACGGTAGGACGAGGAGAAAAAATTGCCCAATCTAATCCCCTATCGATCTGACAAGAATCCAAGAAGCACGGTTAGCATTCTCGTATGGGGTTTTACCCCTTTTTATTTTTAATGCGAATAGTCTCTACCTGCAATCGTTCGTATGAGAAATTGATGTTCTCGTTTATAATTTGTGTTACGGGACGACCTATGCTCATACATTTATAATAATAAAAATCGCCATAGTAGATTTTTCCCCCCACCGATAACAAATTACTAAAGTCACTCTGTGGAGTAATATTTGATACATATTTTTCTCAGTCACCGCCAGGGGCTGCGACGTTACCGACGGAGACGTTAGCAATCCTAACCTATCTTTTCGCCTAGGCGGCAACTTCCTACCTCGCAGGCTGACAAATCACCGCAGTACGTTTCTCGGCTTCCGGTGCAATAAACATTTCTGAAAACAGCCAATATAGCAAACGCACCGTTATATACGCCTCCCTTCGAGAACGAAGATACGAAATAAAATATCGTAATCTTATACCGAACCCTCCAAACGTACATAGAAGTAATTGCTGTCAACGAATCCTTCGCCGAGAGAACGTACACAATAGAACCCAAGGCTTTACATAAAGAGGTAACGGATAACATCCTTCCTTGACATTGCACAGAGAAAGATTACGTCTGACCAGGAAAAAACATAGTTGAACACAAAAGATAATATTACCTACTTATCGTCGAAGTAACATAGATATTCATATATTCCTATAGACTTCTAATGCAAATCCTTGTAAATTTACAGTATATGGTAATCGTAATGGACTGATTATTCAATATCGCGGACGAAAATTTATGTTCGATTTATCCATACTACGCTTTCGAAACTTCATAAGGAAGTGGCGTACCTGTTACTTATCACTTGGTGCACCACGTAGACCCAACTTTTCCAGACTGTATCATTTTTCTCGTTGCCGTGCGTGTCATGGCTATGTATATAGTTATGTGTGATTTACGTGCCAATGGATTTTCCTAGTTGGACCCCTGGAACTTAGGTGGAGATATCTGAGTCCTGGTTGAGGTTATGTACGACCAAGGGTGAAACAGTCTAGAACATCACGGCTTAAACTCGGAGAGGGTTTCTGCGTGCAAGTACCGGCGTTCTACGAATTCGATGTACTTTATTTTTAATTTTCTAAACAATGCACTCCTTAGCAAATCGCACGCGGGTGTCTATAAAATTATGAAAACATATGCTAAAACAGAAAAATTATGTGTAATTCATTGCCTTGCATATGCATACTTTCTATCAAACAATTTACGTAGTGACGCCTGTGAATTACCAGAGACTTCATTGTTTATAATATCTCAAAAGACTATTAGATACGATAAAATCATGTACCTAGAGTATTCATATACGAATCCGCACTTGGTAAGTTTTTAAACTGTATATATAAGTATTCAAGCCTACGTACGAGTTCGCAATGAATTTTTCACGAGGACAATAATTCTCAATCGTTTCAGTGATACAATTTATGGTAAATTCACGTTCATAAGGCGTGTACTGTATATTCGCACAGTTTTAAAGCCGAAGTACAGATTCTTATATATACGTATCTTTATATTATCTACTAACAAATTTTCCCCTTGGGAATACGTTCGGAGGGTGAATAAAGGAAAAGCGAATTTTTGCCATTCGATGAAACGTTATTTTCCTACATCCTCGCGTACGAGGATTGTAGGAAGGAGAGAAGACGAAGATAGACGAAGGATTGGAATAAGCTAACAAACAGGAATTCTTTTGTTTCAACTCTTCGGTCATCGATTCTTCATCGATTACTATCGATCCTTCTTTTTTCCGCTACTCGCGTAGGTACACGCATGTCATGGAATTTATGGAATCGATCTTTTCTCTCTTTTATATTGTCTGCTATAAGATTATCGTACTTGCCTTACTTCTTCCTCGTCTCTACGTATTTGCAGCCTCGCTCGCAATTCGACTACCGATAATTTCATAGTTCGCGAAATTAGATTGTATTCGTGGAACTGTACGAGCGGCATTTTGATAACCCAAGGAAACTTAAGGAACCCCTGAAGTAAAGGAATCAAAGACAATTCATCCCCCCCTCTCATCCATCTGAGGGTCTACGGTAAACTTCGCAAAAATTTGTTTGCACTTCCTTCCCGACGGGATCCCTTATCTTGAATTCTGGTACTGTGCGAATAGAAAAAAAAAAGATAGACAAAAAAGTAAGATAAGAAACAGAAACTACACGATCCCGATGCGATAGCTCCGCGAAGAGCTATCAAGTTTATCGTACTTGAGAAATCTTGGTTGACTTTCCTATAGCCACTACTAAATCTTCAACCACCTACTAGATACCGGAAGTTATAGCTCTTTCGAATTTTACTGAAGCACAGAGTCACGATTGTCATAGTACTTTTTTTAAGTATTCAACGAGTCATTGAAAAGACTTAAGCGAGACACCTATCTAACGTGTACGCTGAAAAACTGTATATGTATATACTTTTGAACGTGACGACTTCTTGGCGTCCCACAAAGTGTCTTTACAAAGTCCTGACAGGACATAGTAGTGGACTTATATATGAGATTCAAACGAATGGTCAAAGGATGCTTTCGAATTCAATTTCCAGCCTCCATATTTCATGAGGGTTACTCTTTTTCCAGAATCTATCTGTATATGTACGGTGTACGCGAATATGTATAGTCGATTGCCTCGAAAATCCGTCTGGTTATTGATGTCCAGTGCTTCACCATATTCTTACTTCCCCATTTCCTAAAGCCAATGTCATGTCCGCTATGAATTGATGCTGAAGAGCACAATTCAAAATGGGTTACAATACCTTAATAATACTTCGACAATGGGTTAGATCCTTCTGTTATATCTGGCGTTATGCCACGATTCCTTTTTAAAAAGAGTCCAGGGAGCCTTCGGTGAAACTGAATAGTTTCCAGAACAATCTTAACCAGACGACGGATTGTACATTGACTAAGCTTGTTAAACATTCGCGATTCAAATAATTCTACCCGGATCGATCCGGAATAATAATTCCTTACCGGTATAATAAATACTCGAGTCAAAGACTTTACGGTGTTCGCTATAGCGTTACCCGACGCTCCTCGAAATACAGCATAATATCGCGGTGAGAGTAATTTCGATAAATGAATATTGACGAGTAGTCGAGTTTGACCTTTGACCGGAAAAATTTTATATTTTTCATACTCAAGTAATCGGATAAAATTGAATTTCAGATACACCATTGAATCTTCAGACTCGAGTATGCTGCTAAAGAATTCTCAAGTTTTCTGACCCATTCGAAAGGTCCTAAACTGTCAAGAATCTCTATGCCCCACGTGTAGTCATATTACTAACATCACAGTACAGCATTGTAGCTATATATGAACTTTCGTGTGTCACCTATACAATACACGGTAAGTCGAGTATGCCTAAGTTTTCCAAGATTGCTCGCGTCGTTTCGCGTTACGTATATCAGACACGTGAAAAGGGTTAGACATGATCGTTAATGTAAGTCGTTAAATATTGCAGGCTAGATTTGACACTCGTTTTACCGTAAAATCAAAATGACAGATTTCGCCAATAACCAGAGCCCGTTTGATTCGCGCGAAAGGAGTTTTAACGTAGGGAATTCCCAGAATTCAACGTCAGTTTTTATTGTCTTGCCGCAGCTTAATTTGACTTGTAGACGCGCAGTGCTTCTAGCCCTTTGTCACGACGCCGTTTGCCCAGCCTGCCCTAGGCCAACCCTTGGCACTTAACTCCGCTGCAGGACTCCTCGACGAAACCAGTGATATTATTGTGAACTTGGGTTAACAATGTTGCCGGGACCGTTCCGAC